AAAAAAAAAAAAAAAATTTTGCATAATCATTGGAATACGACAAAATTTGAAAGAAACAGTTCTCTGGAATATTATCACATTAGCTACGTTGGGAAAACAAAACAAACAAATTAAAGGGGTCTATTAACCCTTACGTTTATATACAAAACTATTTATGAACTTCGAATGAAGACCAAATGATTGAATTTTCCCAGCCTTCGAGGTTATGTGTTCACTTTGTCCGAAATAATTCAGTGTGGAACTAGACTGAAACACTGTGACCGGCCGTCACAAAAGTATTTGTCGGCAAGAATTCCTGTCAAACCTTAATTCACCATTTGGAGCGTTTTCATGTGACGTCACGGCGGTCATTTTGGTGTTTCAAAAAGATCCTGCGCGAGTTGAAGTCTTTTCAATTCTTACGTTAACGTTTCTCTTTGTTCGAATAACATACAAGGAGGTGAATAGTGGTAACTATACCGAGACGCGAATCGTCGAGGTATATGTCTACCGCTGTTCACCGACACTGAGGGGGGCAGTTGTTTTGGTATTTACCATATCAGCTAGATATAACGTCACTTAGTAGGAACTTTGTTTACAGTGTACAAACATTTCGAGGATTTTGTCAAGTGCATTTTACGATTTTGTTGCAGATTCAGCATGAAAATAATTTTCTAGGAACTAGTGAACACCGACAAGCCAAGGTTCGTCGCCTTCTTAGTATTTGTTTGTATTACTGCTACATTTATCAAACAAATTTCGTCTTCCGAAAATGTCTCGAAGCGAGACGCCATCTTGGCTCCGGTCGCAAAACAGTGAATAGGGACCTTAAGATCAGGACGGCGACGGCAGAGAAAACGTCGCTTAAAAAGTGAATTCGCGTTCTTCCAATCTTCATTGCGATTACTCCAAGTCACTTACTTTGTCATATGTAAGCGAACCCTCCTAAACTTGAGTTCCCAAGAACCATATCCAAGTTTAGAAAGAGAGAGGAAATTTCGTCGTCGCTTGTGTACTTCCTCTGTACAAGGTGAAATTAGGCATTTTCATGTCGTAGTCGTGCAGTGACAGCAAAGAAATGCACAAAAAAGCGTGATGCACGTGCAAAATTGTTGTTTTGCTAATTAAACCTATTGCTTTTGTGACGTTCCCGTTGCCGTCGCCGTCGTCGGATCTTAAGTTCTCTAATAGATAAGGATAATCCGAGTTACGGGAGCCAACAAAAACGCGCGAAAATTGCTATTCACTGATTTGGTCAATACTAAATTTGCA